CGGGAAGCCTACAAAATACGACCTGTGGTGGCATCAGTCGTAACCACAAACCAGTGCCCCTGGTGCGAAACTATTTTTGTGGACCGCAAGACCGCGATCGACCATGCTACTAGATCGGCCCACTACCACGGCACTTGTCACCAGGACCGCTTGAATTGGGATCACCCTGTCCAGGAGCCACGCACGTTAGTTTGCCCTGCCTGTGCCCACCAGGCTCAAGACCTCGAGGCCTTTCACGCACACATACGGACACATCTTGCTGGGCCCGACCCGATCCGCGAGGCGAAGGGGGCAGCGGCACACAGCATCCGGCGGCAACGGGATGCCAGCGGACTGGCGCATCATCGCCACCAAGCGCCCGCCCCCGCAGGAGGCCCGCGCCCGGCCGCAGAAGCAGGCGAACACAGGCGGACAGGCCACAGCCGCCAGCGGCCCAGGAACGGGAGCAGGAGCCGGTGGGCGGGGCAACCCAGGCGGCGGTGGACGCGACGGTCACGGAGCCCAGGGCGAGCCACGAGACAGCACTCGAGCCTTGCAGCTCCTCGCGCTCCGGAGCGCCGCAGAGCCCCGCGCGCTGAGCCACATCACGGGAGAGTTCTGGCTCGTGCCCCTCCTGGAGGAGTGGGCCCAGGCGCCGATCGAGACAGGCCGAGAGTACGGCAGGAAGGTGAAGGCGGCGGGCAAGGGCCACGGGCTCGGACCACCTCACGGCCACGTGGCGGCGACACTAGTCGAGGAGCTCACGAAGCCGCCCAAGAACAAACAGGACCTCGACCCGTCGATGCCTTGGGTCCTCCAGACCTTCACGGGGTTTCCCGAGCAGCTGGATCAGCCGTACGTAGTGACGTTCATCACGGAGGTGCTCCAGCAGCGCAAGATCCAGGAGTGCTACAAGACCCCCGACGAGGCGATGGAGACGGGCACACGCAGGGCGAAGCTCCTCTACTCGATCAACACGGCCCCATCGTTCCGCGCGGCGTTCCACCAGCAGCAGGTCGAGGAGGGCCAGACCACCAAGATCATGGGGTTCAATGGGGGGCCGTTCAAGCAGGGCGCGGCGCTGGCGCTGGCATGCTTGGGCGCCGAGAGGAGCCGATCCGCGGGCCCGAAGGGTGGCTTCGAGAGGGTCGTGGAGGCCCCTCTACATCGGCGCCGCGGCCAGTATATTGCCAGCCGCACGCCTCGCAGCCCAGCAGCCGCGGGCGCCGCAGTAGCGCCTCAGGCCCCGCCCGCGAGCACCCACGAGGCCAGCGGGTCGGGGCTCACTACCTCCTGGCCCCCCGCCGACCCTCCAGAGTCTCGAGAGGAAAAACTTGCCGACTATATATATCAGTCGCGACCTGGGGCGCTATGCTCAGTTGCGCGGGCAGGCCCAGGACCATGGGGGATACGTGGCTACACTACCCCAGCCCGCTAATTACTACCGCGACTTACGCCCCAGGAGTTACAATCAATCGGTGGAAAATATAAGACAAGCTGGTCCCTTCCTACAGTATGCCAGTTACTACCGACGGACCGTCGGCGCTCCACCACAACCATTTTTCTTTTTCATACACTCCTCCTCGCTGCCCACAGGCAGTAGGCACATGCGACAGATCGCGTTACTCACCAACCCCACCAGCCGAGGAAGTGCGTTACTACGCGGGGGGGCTGGTGACCATACAGGGTTACTAATTACCAACGGCAGGACCGTGGTGCGTCTATGATCCCACCTCGGCTCCCCTCACCCCCCCACAGGCAGCAGTGGCACTTCTACTACTGGCGCCCTACCGGCCCCGCAGGTCCCCATAGCCCGAGCGGTTCGCCGAGGCAGCCCACGCCGACCTCTTGCTCGACCTCCCAGTCCCATGCGAGGCCCACGCGGAGCTCTGGGCGCACCCCGAGAGGCACTTGGAGGCAGTATATCAAGCCCGCGATTACGGCGGAAAAAAATTCAGGGGGGCCACACAAGGCTACCAGAGGCACCCTCACCAGGCCAGCTGTCACGACCCCTGCAGGTCTTGGAGGCTTCATAGGGGCCCAACGACGACGGCGCGCGACTCAAGCTCTGCCCCGCAGGGAACAACTGGGGGGAAGGCCAGCCTGGCGGCCAGGCCAGGTCCGACGTCCAACCACGCGCGCCTCCTTTCCGCAGCCTTTTTCGGTAGCTAGCGAGCTTCAAGAAGCCTCTTTCCACGCGCAGCAGCGACAGTACTATCGCATCAGGGCCAGACGATGGCCTCCTACAGCGAGCCAGAGGAGCGGGCGGCGGCGGCGGCAGCGGCGCCGCATGAGTAGCGCGGCGGCGACGACATGCCACGGCCGAAGGAGGACGTCGCGGCGCAGAAGGCGGCAGACAGGGGCAGCGGAGTGACGGACGCTGTCTTCGGCACGGTGGCGAACCGCCTCTCCGCCGCTCACCGCGCCCTGCAGAGCACGGGCGAGCTGCTCCCGAAGTTGCTCCAGCACTCGGACACGGTGCAGTACCGGCTCTACGCGCAGCGGGGCCGCGTCGCCATGGCGCTCGCGCGCATTAGCGCCTCGAAGAGCTTCAATTGCTTCGAGGAGATGGAGCGCGCGCGCATCGCGGTGCTGCTAAAGATACAGATCGAGGAGCTGACAGCGGCGATCGAAAAGTGCAGGGAGGTCGGCGCCTACCTCGAGGGCGGGGGCCGCCTGTGCAAAAGGCCATGCCCGTGGCAGCTGGACTACACGAGGTACCAGTGCGACGAGCTGGAGGGCTTCTACAGTAAGTGGACGCACAACGACAACGGCTGGGGCCGCGACGAGGTCGCGAAGGAGGGGGCGCCCACCCCGGGCGGAGAAGGGCGTGCAGCGGCCGGGGCCATCATCAGCATCCAGCCCCAGCGCCCACCGCGCAGGCGCCCAAGCCCAGCGGTCACGGGGCGGACAATGCACGGCGTGAAGATCGCGAAGCCGCAGCAGCAGCAGCAGCCGCCGACGCAGGGGGCGGCGCAGCAGCAGCAGCCGATGCAGCACCCCAGCAGCAGCGATATCCGAACGTACGACCAGGAGGCAGCACGGGCTGCAGGATGGGGCGCTGGCATCGGCCCGAGCAGCAGCGCGAAGATCATTGGTGGAGTCGAAGTGTGAATGAAGCCGCTGCCTGCCTGCCAGCCTCTCCCAGTAGCACTGCGCCGGCGCCGCTAGCCTGCTGCCGCCACGCGGCGCTGGGACAGCGTCGACCCAGCAGCTGCGCCTGCCAGCGCCACCCAGCAGGAGGGTTAGAAGGCACTCGTCCTCGCCCTCGTTATAATGCGCCCGCCTGCAGGACGAGGAGGGGGGTGGAGGGGTGGGGGGAGTGAGTCGTGGAGAGTGGGGAAGTGTAGAGGTCCTCAGCAGGGGTCGCCCCGCCCCCGAGCAGCGGGGGCAGCGCCCCCTGCTTGCTTTTTTAATCGCTCTTCCACGCGACCGAGCGGGGTCTCCCGCTGGAGGGGCGCGAGGACCACCCTCCACGGAGAGGGGGCCTCGACGCCCCAGGCTGCCCCCCTGAGAGGAAGGGGGCTAGCATCCATATACTACCCTGGGTGTCGTTTTCGAGGCGCAGAGCCCCAGCTGGGGCGCTCGAAGACCTGAACCCCCCACGGGGCTTTACAGTTTTTACTTCCTGCTCCTCGTCCTCCTCCTCCTCTTTCTCTTCCTCCTCCTCTTGTTCTTCCTGCGAGGTCAACTCCCCGTTGAGCTGGGTGTCAGCGCGGACCTGTTTTGTTTGCGGCAATATCCCAGGCATGCTGTGATACGCCCCCACTGCTGGTCGTAGCACCAGTCGAGCTTCGTGAACTTCACCACGCCCGTGCGACCCCCGTAGCTCAGCGATCGCAGTCTTTGCTTGGAGTCCTTCCGCCTCTCGGAGCTGGCCTCCCCGATGCTCTCCTGGCGGATAGTGGGCGCCCCGAGATTGTAACCTTTGTTTGGTTTGCACCTGTTCGTTGTTCTTGTCTCCCTGCTCTTCCATGCGGGTTACCTCTGGCAGGTCGTGTGGCACGATGATCACGTCGAATCATATTCCCTTCAACGTCCTGCGCGACTGCGCCAACAGTATGGTCATTCTCATCATGAGCACCATGAGAATTTTGTTGGTTGGGTTGTAGCCGGTTGCGGTCTTGGCGACCTTTGCTGTTCTCCGTCTGCGATTTGGCGGCGCCGGTGACGCTCGTTCTCGTTGGGCTTGACCCCGCCGCCAGCAAGGACCAGGGACATGGCTCGCAGCGGCATCGGGATCGGTCCGGTCGGCAGCACTCAGGCGAACTCGCCTCCCTTTCGGCAAGAGGGCAGCAGGTAGAGGGGGCGCGTAGTTACTGCTCGACAGAATCGTCTAGATACTCCTCCATATTGTCTCTTCCCGCGCGTAGGGCACTTACAAGAGTTGGGCACCACGGGGCTCCACTCGAAGACTTCGCGATTCAGACGGCATCGGTTATGTAGCCAAGCATTTCGAGCGCGTTGCCGACCGCAGTCTCTCAATCGAAAAGCAAGTCCATCACCAGGGGCAAACGTTCGAGATCACCGTCGATGTAAGCGGATTCAACATTTCCCTTTCTGCCCCTGGCCAGACGGAGCTTTAGCGAAGCGGAATCCGAAGGTTCGGAGAATATTGCGTGAATCGTTCTTCCACGTTCATGTAGATTGAATTCATCGTTATTTTACATGATCCGTGATCGAAGACCAGCCTGGTTCGTTCCCACCTATCGGGCTCTCACCCAGGCTCATTCCTGTGTTCCTTCTGGACGACTCTTACTGGCTCCCTGGTACTTGTTCTTACGAATTCATCCCAGGAGTTTGCTCCCTAACGCAGACTGGCGGACAAATGGATGGGTGGAGGAGGAGTCTGATCGCACATCTGGGGTCTGATAGCCCCCGCCTTCTCCTACCCCCCTCCTCCTCCTCCTCCTCTCTTCTCCTTCCCCTCCTCCTCCTCCTGCCTGTTTGCCTGTTTTGTCTGTCTGCCTGCCCCTCCCTCTCGCCGCTTTTGCCGCTGGGCGCCGCGCGCCCCCGCGGAGGCCTTCGCGTCCTCGCGCGCCGAGAGGGCGGCCCGGAAGCAGCTCGCCGTGCAGGCCAGGAGGGCTTGCCAGTCGGAGCGGTCGCAGAAGAGGCACCAGAGGCGGCCAGACGCGTCGGGAGAGAGGGAGGAGGGAGAGAGGAAGGAGGGTTATGACGAGGAGGAGGAGGATCAGGATGATGAGGAGGAGGAGGAGGAGAAGGCGGAGGAGCAGGAGGAGGAGGAGGAGGAAGGGGAGGAAGGAGGGGGGAGGGAGGAGGGAGGAGATAGGATGGAGGAGGGAGGAGGAGAGGGAAAGAGAAGGAGGGAGCAGGGGGGATGAGAAGGAGGAGAAGGAGGAGGAGGAGGGGTGCAGATGCTGATGATGCTGATGATGGTGACTGATGATGATGCTGGTGATGATGATGCTGATCATGATGATGCTGATGCCGCTGCTGGTGGTGATGATGATGACGGTGACGATGACGATGACGTTTCTGATGATGATTGTGGTGATGCTGACGATGATTACGATGCTGGTTATGATGCTGATGATGTTGATGTTGATGTTGCTGTCGATGATTGCGATGTTGATGATGACGATGATGATGATGACGATGCTGGTGATGATGTTGATTATACTGATGATAATGATGCTGGTGCTGATGGTGATGCTGATGATGAGGAGGAGGATGCTGATGATGCTACAGCTGCTGCTGATGATGATGATGATGATGATCCCGATGGCGATGACGATGACGGCGACGGTGACGATGACGATCACGTGTATGCCGATAATGGTTATGTGAATGTCGATTATGATGCTGATGATGATGCCGTTGCTGCTGATGTTGATGCCGCTGCTGGTGATGACGATGCGGATGACGTGCGGATGATGATGTTGATGATGTTGGTAGTGATGCTTGTGTTGATGATGATGATGCTGATGTTGATGCTAATGATGCTGATGCTAATGATGTTGCTGGTGATGATGATGCTGATGATGCGAACGCTGATGCTGGCGATGACGATGATGACAGCCATGCCAATGCTGACGATGGCCACGACGAGAAAGATGCTGGTTCTGATGATGATGATGATGCTGATGATGATGATGACGATGATGATGATGATGGTGATAACGATGATCGTGACCATGGTGATGTGCTAATGATGACCATGGTGTTGATGCGGTTGGTGATGGTTCTGTTGATGTTGACCCAGGGTCTATGATGATGCTGATGGTGGTGATGATGGTGGTCATGATGATGACGATGACGACGATGATGATTATGATGATGTTGCTGCTGATGATGATGCTGATGATGATGATGCTGATGATGATGGGGGTGGTGATGGGGATGGGGATGGGGATGGTGATGGCGAGAAGGAGGAGGAGGATCAGGAGGAGGAGGAGGAGCAGGAAGGAGGAGTGGATGAACTAGGAGTGGATTTGAGGGGGGAGCAGGAAGGGCTCAGAAGGTGCGAGGATGATGATGAACACGAGGGGGACGATGCTGATGATGCTGATGATGATGATGATGATGATGATGATGATGATGATGATCACGAGGGGGACGGACTTGGATGACGATGACAATGACGGTGACGATGACGGCGATACTGACGATGATGATGATGCTGCTGCTGATGATGATGAACACGATGGTTCTCCTCCTCCTTCTCCTCCTTCTTTTTCGTCTGCCTTCTGCGCTTTTTCGCTGCTGATGATATCGATGACGATGGTGACGATAACGGACATTATCGATGACAATTGCGATGGTGATTACGATGATGATACGATGATGATTATCCTGCGTTGTCTTTGCTTATGATGATGCTGATGATGGTGATGGTGATGGTCCTGATGACCATGATCATACTGCTGATGATGATGACGAGGATGATGACAAGTATGATGATGATGATGATGATGATGATGATGATGATGATGATGATGATGATGATGATGATGATGGTGGTGGTGATGATGCTGCTGCTGATGATGATGATGCTGATGATCGTACTGCTGCTGCTGACGATGATGACGATGTTGATGATGATACTGATTTTCTACTGCGCTCAAGCAATCCTCGCGGCCATGTTTGCTTACTATATCCTCTGGTGTGCTGTGGTCGCATCACGACAAAGCCAGCCGAGCTGAGTTAACAAATCTTCCGGTCAACAAACCAGAGGCGTGTTCCGTCACGGAATACCTCTTGGAGGCGGCGCCCGTGTCCAGTGTGGAAGGTGTGAGCATCATGAAAAATACTCCAGATTTCGTAATAAAGGGAGGGGGGTCTCATTTCGGAGGGGGTCTCTTCCAGGCTATCTTGGAGGGCCTGGGGGGTCTGGGGACGATGTTTTGGAGGGTTCTCCCACGGGGGAGGTCTGAAATGGCTTGTCTTGGAGGGTCCAGACCCCCTCCCTTTTATTACGAAATCTGGAGTACATCGGCGGCGTCAGAAACCGAATCTTTTTTCGCCTGCAATAGCCGAGCGCCCCGGATGATAAAGCATACCCCCCCGTTACCGCTTTCCTCCCGCTCCCCCTCTCCACATCAACAAGTTATATTCCGAGGAAAGTGGTAGTTCGCTCAAGGCAGGGATACTAAACAAGGAAATTATGATCATACCCTCTGACGGGCAAGCGGTGTCCGGAACGATGGCAGGAATACGCCGACCAAGTCAGCAGGCTCGCGACTCGCAGTTCCACTGACCATCGTGGCGGTCGCGAGCCTTCTGGCTTGGTCGGCTGTACTCTTATTTTTCCGACCGGTGCTTGCCCGTCAGGGGGTCTGATCGTCATGTCTTTGCTCATGTCCCTGGTCAGAGTGGACGACCACTTCCCTATGTGCGCTTCGGCCCCCCAGGGGCGGCGCGCGTGCTCAGGAGTCTTATAATATATCCTTGGCGGGCAGGTGCTTTCTGCCCATACCGCCTGAGTGACGACATCTTATATTCTTGACGCTTCGCGTATCCCCACCAGGTTTTTTTGACCGCGGCCCCGCGCGCGCCCGCCGCTAGTCGCGGCCGCAGCCCGCCCGCGACTGCCCGCCGCTGGCGCTTCCGCCTGCGGCTGTACAAAAAAAAGAAGTATCCCCACCAGCCCATCCAGAAACGATGTCCATGAGAGCTGACGGGGGGATAGAGGAAGAGACACGCAAAGTCAAAAAGCGAGGGAGGCCGGCTTGGACGGCGTGTTAGGGGTCATTTGGAGGCTCCGTGGCCATCTCGAGCCGTCTTGGAACGGTCATGGGGCCTCTTGAAGCACCTTGGGAGCCATCTTGAGCCAACTCGGGCTATCTTAAGCTATCTTGGAGGTCATCTTGGGCCTTTGAGGCCGCTCGGGGGCCTCCTGGGTGCCTCTCGGGTGCCTCTTGGAGGCCTCTTGGGGCCTCTTGGGGCGCGCTTGGAGCCCTCTTGGGGGCCTCTTGGGAGCCTTGGGGGGGCCGCTGGGTGCCATCTTGGAAGCGGTCGGTCAAGAGAGGGGGGTCCTCGATGTAGCTCCCCCCCTCAAAGGCCACGATTCTCCTGCGGGGTGTCAAACATTGACCCTCCCATGGGCCGAAATAGGAACCTCTGACACATCGGGCCCCCTCCCAACAAACCTCAGGGAGGGGAGGGGGAGGGCTCCCCTCCCCGAAGGGAAAAGGGGTCGTTGAAGAGGAAAGCGACCCTCGTCAGACCACCTGTCGCCCGGAGGGCTGGTGGGATTACGCTTGTAGTGCATGTCCAGTCTGGACGTGCGCCTCCAAGGGGGGCGCAAAGTCCTAGTGTGTCTTTCTGCGTCCCACCTGGATCGGATGTCGCCCGCCGCCCCCCTCCCTTTTGCGCCCAGGCAGGCTCTCCAGTACCCCCCCTCCTCCGCTCGCCCCCGCCCCCCCCGACGTCACATTGGTTTTCTCACGACGTAGACCGCCAGAGGTCCCGACGAACTGTTTTCGTCCCAACCCTCCTTGGTTGGGCGTTCGGTTTGAGTAGAGCACTGCTCGCGTATCCTTCCTTCCTTCCTCCCGCCTCCTGCCTCCTGTCTCCCGCGAGCTCTCGCCCCGTGCGCACCACTTGTGTATGCATCTTGCCTGCGGTGTCTGTCCCCGACCTCGCCGTCCCTGGGCGGGGGGCTGCGATCTGCGAAGCTGTCGCAACTTGCGAGGGCTGCTGGTGGGTCCAGCGGAGCGAGGCACCGCGCGGATCTGAGCGAGACCTCGCCGTCCCTGTCGCTTCTTTCGAGGGCTGCTGGTGGGTCCAGCGGAGAGAGGCACGGTGCAGATCTCAGCGGGCCCTCGACGTCCCTGGGGGGCTGCGATCTGCGAAGCTGACGCCACTTTCGAAGGCTGCTGGCGGGTCCAGCGGAGTGAGGCACCACGCAGATCTGAGCGGGACCTCGCCATGCCTGGGGGGCTGCGAGCTTCACGGATGCCGCTCGCAGAATTATATGCGCCCATGTCACGTCATCACCTCTGCATAACGTGTCCCAAACTACTCGTGCCCCGCATCGCGCAGGGGCCGGGTACGTCGCCAGGGTAATCTTCTGATGCTTCCGGGGCCTGGTGAGAGGGCCTCAGGGGGCTGAAAATGGCCGAGGACCTCCCATCGCTCCTGCTTCACGACTCGAGGGGGTCTTGGCCACTCCCCCGCTCTGCCACTCCCCCGCTCCTCGAGCCCCGTCTGCCAGGGCCGCCTGCGATCCGATTTGATGCGACTCGATTCGGTTCGGTTCAGATCGACTCGACTCGATTCGGCTCGATTCGGTTAAGTTCGATTCGATCCGATTCGATTCGATTTGGTCCGATTCGATGCGACCCGTTTTCTGACAGTCCTGGGGTCGGGCCTGGTGAGAGGACCTCCACGGGCTGAAAATGGCACCTTGCGACAGCTCCCCTTGTTGCCCGCCGCCCCCCTGCGCCAGCTCCCCCCATCTATCGTTGGCCCCCAGGGCCTCGTCCTCCTCCTCGCCCTTTCCCTCCTCCTCCTCCTCCTCCTCCTCCTCCTCCTCCTCCTCCTCCTCCTCCTCCTCCTCCTCCTCCTCCCGCCTCCTCCTCCTCCTCCTCCTCCTCCTTCTCCCTCCTCCCTCCTCCTCCTCCTCCTCCTCCTCCTCCTCCTCCTCCTCCTCCTCCTCCTCCTCCTCCTCCTCCTCCCTCCTCCTCCTCCTCCTCCCTCCCCTCCTCCTCCCTCCTTCTCCTCCTCCTCCTCCTCCTCCTCCTCCTCCCTCCTCCCTCCTCCCCCTTCTCCAGCCCCCCCCCCCTTGCTGGGCCTCGCCCCCCCGGGCCTCTCGGCGACCCGCCGCTGCTGCTCCCCCAGGGAGCTGCTGCTCGCCGCCCACGCGGTGGGGAAGCAGTCGCTGGGGCACGCCAAGCGGCAGCAGGTGTGCCGGCGCAACCAGCGCGGGGCTCGGCGCGCGCCGCGAGCGGGCAGGGCCTGCAAATGCGGGGGGGGGGGAGAGGGAGGGAGGGAGGGAGGGAGGGAGGGAGAAGGAGCGGGAGGAGGGGCAGAGAGCCAGGGGGGAGGGGGGGGGGGGGGAGGGAGACGGCAAGCTACGTGCGCTCGCGTTATATCGGACGTCCTGCCCCGCCCTCCCATCCCTCACCATGACGTAGATCTCCTCTCTATTCGCACAGCCGGATGCCGAGCAGGGCGATGATCCTGAGAGGGTGCGCGATGCATCGTAGAGCACGGCATAGCAGGGCGTTGAAGAGCACGGCAGAGCGTAGTATGTCATAGCATGGCGTGGCGTTGCATAGTTAAGAATTGCATCACACAGCATTGCAACGCAAATAATGGCACCGCACAGCGGCACATGACAGAACATGGCACAGCAGTGCGTTGAATATCAAAGCGCAGCATGGTATAGCATGGCGTGGCGCTGCGTAGTCAAGCACTGCATACTCTAGCATTGTAGCTGAAGGCATGGCATCGCACGGCGGAACACCACATAGCATTGTATTGCATGCCGTGGCATGGCATTGGAAATAATGACGCCAGCGCTGCAGCGGGAGCACGATTCGGAACGAGCGGAAGCGCGGAAATGAGGCCAGCGCGGAAGCGCGGAAATGAGGCCAGCGCTGAAGCGGGAGCACGATTCGGATTGAGTGGCAGTCCGAAAATGAGGCCCGCGCTTCAGCAACATTTTGAAAACATCCTCAACCCGGGAATCCGGTGTGTCAAAAGATACGCGGAGGGGGGCCGAACATTTTCCTGTCGTCATCAGGTGAGAGAGGAGACTAGCATTCATATTTTGTAATTGTAGGGGGGTCTGGCGAGGGGAAGGGAGAGGGGTGGGGGGCGGGATGAGAGGGTGGGGGGAGGGCGACAGAAGGAGGGGGAGGGGGGGGGAGGTGGAGAGGGAGCGATGGGGGAGTGAGAGAGGTAGGATGGGGAACTCGAGAACGCGAGCAACGAGGAGGCGGGAAGATAGAAGAGAGTGAGATACGGATCACGGGCAGCTGCGCTGGAACAGGGCCCCCCTACGTAAAGGGTAGGCCAAGAGCGCGCCACAGCTCCTCCTCCTCCTCCTCCTCCTCCTCCTCCTCCTCCTCCTCCTCCTCCTCCTTCTCCCTTGCCACCTTCTCCTCCTGCTGCTCCTCCTCCTCCTCCTCCTCCATCCCCTCCTCCTCCCCCTCCCTGCTCCTCCTCCTCTTCTCCTCCTCCTCCTCCTCCGTCTTCTCCCTCTGCCCCCCATTTCACTTTCGTCCTCCGTTACTCTTACTTCCCTCTTCCATCATCTTCGTCCTCCTTCCTCCCTCCTCCTCCCTCTCATCTTTCACCTCCGCCTCATCATCATCATCATCATCATCATCATCATCATCATCATCATCATCATCATCATCATCATCATCATCATCATCATCATCATCATCATCATCGTCATCATCATCGTCATCATCATCGTCATCATAATCATCATCATTACCAGCATCATCATCACCATCATCAGCAGCATCAGCACCATCACCGTCATCAGCAGCATTATCATCATCGTCATCCTCATCATCACCGTCGTCATCATCATCGTCATCATCACCATTATCATAATCAGCATCATCATGAGCATCACCATCATCGATACTTCACCACCACCATCGCCACCATCGTCCGCAGCAGCATCACCAACATCACCATCATTGTCAACATGGGCATCCTCATCATCACCGTCATCCTCATCAGCATCATCACCATCCTCATCCTCCTCATCATCAGCATCATCATCAACACGCCCATCAGGACCATCATCATCACCCTGTCATCAGCGTGATCAGTCGGATCGGCATTATCAGCATCATCATCATCATCATCAGCATCATCATCCTTACCATCATCACCACCAGCATCCTTCCCTTCACCATCATCGTTACCACCATCATCACCAGCATCATCAGCATCAGCATCAGCATCGTCCTCATCATCACCATCATTGCCACCGCCGCCACCATCACACTCACCATTCTATTAGTATTGGTCCCCATCATCGTCACAAACGTCATCCGCATCATCAGCATCACCATCATCATCGCCGTTGATCATCATGACCACCACCATCTCCGTCACCATTACTATCACTATCGCCCTCCGTAGCCAGTCTGGCCCAAGCCATTGGGGCTCAAGCCATGTTGGCTCAAGCCATTTTGCTTCAAGTAACACATTTGCCGAGGTGGTGTGGGACCATTTCGGAGCTCAGCAGGCGCAGCCCGCTCTCAAGCGTCTGACTGTACCTCCATGCTGTGAGCTCCTGTGGGGGCCATGTTTCCGCTTACGATACCAGTTCGGAACGTCTATGCTTCGGCCACCGCGACGGGGAAATTGCGCACTGCTGATCGACAGGCGCGCCGTGCTGAGCGTCGGACACCTGTTCGCTCGACCTCTCCCTCCTCAGGCTCAGGTACGCGCCGCTCTGCCAGCCGCAGCCCTGGCATGACCCAGCCCCGCGGCGACACGTCGATCTCACGCCAGCTGGAAGGCATCACGGGGGGCTGCTAGCTTCAATGCACCAGACGGTGAAGCAGAGTGCGCAGGACATGGTCGACCTCCGCTCTTCAGTTCAAGGCAGCTTGCATGGTTGCTCCCGGCTATCAGGTCAGTGTGTGCTGCCCGGCCAAGGCTTCCAGCGCAATCGCAGGACGATAGAATCGATCGAGTAGGTGAGGCTCGCGCCGTCGGACACCCCGCAGGGCATGGTCACAGACCAACCGATTCTTGAAGCGAAGTGCAAGGAGCTGGAGTCCCAGCTCGAGGAGCTGCAGAAGGCTCAACGCGCCACTGATGCCAAGTTCTGCGAGATCCACTCTCACCCGACGCCCGTTTCCTCGCCACGCCCGCATCCGAGGCGTGCCGCTGGAGGCCCGACATCTGAGAGGCAGCAACATGATGCTTGCAAGCTTGTGTACTTAGACTCCCCTCGCCCGTTTCTTCATGCTGATATCAAAACTATCGGTGTGGCATGCAAGTCGACTTTTGCTCCTTTGCAGGCTCGGGCGAGCATCGTTGTGAGAGCATTCGGTCTTTCGAAAAACGCGACGCTGCTGTTTGAGAACCCCGATGCTGCGAGCTCGTTTCTGCAGAAACAATTTTGCACGTGCTGGTGGTCACTGGACCACGCCAGATCCACTTCACCCTGAATCCCCTCTCTCGCTCCGCTTGCGTCGTGATCCCGATTTGACTGCAAGGCAGTTGTTTCTTTCTCTTGGCCGCGTGCGTGCCAAGCTCTCGGAGGCTCTCGCTCCCAAGGGCTTTGAAGTTGGGGGCTCGGGGTTTGCGGGTTCGGTGTACATCACGCGCAGTGCCCATGACCCAGTCCCAGCGGTCAAGATTTATATTTCGAGTGACGGCGATATCTTGTGTCAAGTCGACCGCGATGCTTTTGTGGAGATTGGCATCACCTCTTTCATTGAAGCGGCACGGGCAGAGGCGGCGGCGCGCATCCGCCGTCCCTTTTCGCTCTGAGGCCGATTGCACCCACAGCCAGGTGCCAGATTCTCCCCCCCCATCTTTCTTTTTGTGTTGCAGTCAAGCATGATAGTAAGGATGGGGCAACTTCCCAAGGCTACCCTTGCATCCACGCCCGTTCGGTATTTGGCATCCTTCGGCATTCTGCTGCGCTTCGCACGTAAAGCGTCAACATGGCGTTCCAAGGCCCTAGCATCCTTACCACGCATCCTTACTATCTGGTCGGCTGTACATTCTTGCCCCCCGTCTCGCTATCCATGGGACTTGGAATTGTGGTGCGCTGTTCGCCTCTGTTCGCTCCTCGCCCTGGAAGGCATCAGCTCGATACCGACAACGTTTACACCTTTGCAGCAGACATCACATCACCGCAGTACAAGAAAAGCATGGACATTGGGGTGGCATCGGCTAGCTTGAACGAGAGCTCGAACGACGCCGGTTTGCCGGCGCCATTTTTGGATGATGCGACCGCCGAGGGCGGTGCGCTTACAGCCTTCGCCGCTGAGTTTGTGGGTCTCTTCTCTACCCTTGTCTACGCTGCGTTGATCGTTGGGGGGATCAGGAAGAGTGTGAGTGTCGGGGTAGTTTTGGGAATCACGTCATCTACAACCTCCACTTGCCGAACTCCTCCGACCTGTTCCCCCCCTTCTCTGGTGTGCTCTTTTGTTTGCAACGCGACGTGCAGCCCCATCTACCTGGCGGCGACGGCACTCAGGCCCGCGCGCTGCTTCTTGGTGACTGGAAGTGCGCATTGGAAGGGGGAGGGGGGCTGGCTGGTGACGGGGGGTAGGTGGATCTCTGGGGGCGACCGTCACGCGCGCCTGTTCTGTCGGCTTGTCCCGACTTCTACCGAGCTTCACAAGGACCAGGACACTCGGAGGGGAAGAAGGGGCACAGCGACTGCCCAGACGGCCCGGCTCGACCGGATCTTCTCTTCGTTGCCCCCCGCGTTCCTTCGTGACCTGACGATTTCGACCCCTACCATTGGTGTTCTCCGATGTAATCTACCGAGTGGCAGCAACCCCGTGAGCTGGCTTGGAGCATGGAGCATTTTCGGCCCGACCCCAGCCGACCCGCAATTCCTCCATGGATTGCTGGGCTGCCTGAGTTCGGGCAGGCCAATTGTTGAGGAGCTTTTGGGAGAGATTCCGCAGTCTTGGGACGCGTGGAGACGGCTTGCCCTGGCCAAGGAGTGTTTCTTCGAAACTAGTCGCAAAGCTCGCTCGTCTGTGCATCGCCGCCCTGCTCGCAGCACTCGGGAGATGCACGTTTAGGCTCTCGCAGCCTTGCGCGCTGCGGCCTCAGGCGACCAGCATGGCCTCCGCTCCGCCGCGGCCTGTCGCCCGCGGTTGCAGGTGCACTTTGGCAATGATCTTCGTTGCCTTCACGTGAGCGGCCTCTCTGCACATGTCCACTGTTTTTGTCGCGACGTCTTAGCTGGGGAGGAGCTACACATTTCGCGATCCAACATGGACACGGACGCTAAGCGCGTCATGGCAGCCAGACTTAGTGACTTGTCCTTCTTTGGCGCAAGTTTAGGCGACGTGCAATCTTGGGCTCTGTTACCGATGAAAATGAAAGGGTATCTTGGTTCATCAGTGGGTGATTCTGCGGCTGCTCTAGGCTCTTACTGGGAGACCGTGTTTTGGCCCCCCTCGGTTGACTTTGATCTTTGGGAATAAATTCGGCCGTTTATCAAACGTTTTCAGAACCCTTTGGACCTCTGCTGGCAGATTGGTTAGGCGGCGTGGCACGAGGCGATCAAAAAGCGCTGTCGCAGCATGCCTGGCCCAAACGGGGTCCCCTACGCGGTTTGGAAATACCTGGGTGCATCGTGCGTGTTGCACTCATGCTACCTCTCCCTCCTTGTTGATGACATCTGCTCGCTGCCTGGGGACGTGCGTCTCAGTCTTTTCAGATTCCTCCCTAAATGCGCTGATCCTGCCGACCGCCCAGGGCGCGCGCTGTCTCGCTCAGTTCCCTGCACTGGGCCGCTCAGCATGAGCAGCGCCGATATCAATATTATATGTTGGCCACTGCCGTTGTCAGCTCTGTAATCTCTGCAATTGGGGGGGTCGCGGGGGAGGAGCAGAAGTGCATTTGTGGGAGGGATCGGATTGAGAATATTGTGCGTGCGGGGGCTTGGGGCTTGACTCGTCACTTGCGTGATGACCAGCGCGCTGCGCTCTTCATGGCCGACTTTGCATCGGCATTCCCGAGCCACTCGCAAGCCCGGCTGTTCTTTGTCCTTGAAGAGATGAGGATTCCAACGGCCGTCATTCGATTTTCCGCCACGTGTACACGTTGAATCTCGCCGTCGCCACCGCCGCGGGTCAGCGATTGCAAGCCGCCCCGATTATGTCTGGGGTTCAACAAGGATGTCAAGTTCCCATGTCTCTGTTCGTTTTGGCGGTGGAGCCGCTGCTACAATGGCTTCGAAGCCGATGCGCCGTGAACATCGGCCTGACCCTAGCGCATGCAGATGACTTCCTCTTTGGGCTGATTAATGTGCTTGTGGTTCTAGATGCGCCCCCCTCTGCATTGATGATGCTTCAGCACGTTGCCAAGATGAATCTCAATTTCAGGAAGTGCCAGTTCGTGATCTGTTGCGGCACTGACTGTGCTCGTTCGTTGGCCGTGCTGACGAGTTATGGCGACCCCTTCGTCGAGATTCAAGTTGTCTCCTGGGCCGCTTATGTCTGGTTCTTCCTTTGGCCCCGCTGGGCGCCGATTGCCCCTGGCTTTTGAGATCGCGGTCACCGCGCTCGCCAGCTCGGGTTTGGCATCGCGCAGAGTGCTATACTGCCTTTCGGGTTATGCGTGTCCCCAAGCTTCTGCGCCGCTTGCAGCTGCATCCGCCTGCCAGTGGACTGATCCATCAGTTTCGGGAAGCGGTCATGAGGCTGACCTCGGGGCCTCGCAACGCCACCTCTTACAATGTTGCCACTCACCTCGAATCTCCTGGGTTTCGGACCGAGTTTGTTGATATCCTGGTGGTCTCTCGGGCGGCGAATATTAGGTGCATGCTGAATCCCACCTTCTATAGCGTCTTGGATGAGCTGGAGGCGTCTCGGGGGAATCTGGAGCATATTCCCTACCGGTGGCACGTGGGCTGGAATCCGGATTCCTTTCTGGGTCACGCTCGCATGATGAAGGTTTGGTCATTTGGGTTACGTCTTGAGCTGTTTGCGGTAACCCCTAAACTTCAACATGAACTTTTATATTGCGCCTCTCGAGTTTTGCAGCGCTCTGGACCTGGACGCGCTGCTCTGCTCCGCCGCGCTCGCCTCATCGACCCCGCTGTTTCTCCTCATGATATCGTTATTTGTCGCAGCGCTCTTCGGAAGATATGTGATTCTACCTTCATGTATGTTGGCGTCGCTCATCTTCGGATGATTACATTATCCATTGGTACCTCTTTCGAGGTTTCATTCGCAAGCAGCTGGTTGCCTCTTCGGCAGCGTCGCGGAGCCTGGCGTGGACCTCGATTCACTCCGACATGACTCGCAATACCCCCAATGTGAGCAGATGATCAGGAGATGGACGGGAGATGATATCTCGGTCAGGAATGAGAATGTGAGACACCATTGATTTTCTTGTTGTCTCCTCTTCGATTTTGACTCGTTCCAGGCCTGTTTGAAGCGCGCTGCCTGCATCGACGCCTTCATTGCCGCACTTCACGCGAGAAGGCTCGCGCGGGGCGCCTCGCTTGCCCAGGCCTTTGAAGCTCGGCTCCGCGTCGTGGCCCGTCGTCACAAGCCGCTGGCCAGCACCTGGAGTCCTGCGCCGTTCCGGTCCCGCCTGACGAGCCGGCGAGGCCGGCGAAAGCCCACCACAGAGCGCCTGCAAAACAAGCTATTACATACATCACGGGTTTGAGATCGCCAATCGGGACGCCCGCCGCCGCGCGCCGCCGCGGCTCGCCGCCGCCGCGGCCCGCCGCGGCCGAAAGCGACCGCACGGCGAGGCAAGAGAGGAGGAGGAGGAGAAGGAGGAGGAGGAGGAGAAGGAGGAGGAGGAGGAGGAGGAGGAGGAGGAGGAGGGTGGAGGAGGAGGAGGAGGAGGAGGAGGCGCTGTCCACGCGTGCGCCCGGCGCGCCGCGAGGCAGATGGGAGCCCCCGGCCCGAAGGGGTGCCTGGGGCCTCGCACTGCGCGGCCCGAGGGCCGACCGCCTTCAGCTCGAAGCCTAGCAAGATCGGCGAGCACAGGTTTGTTCTTATATAAAAAAGAAAAACTCCATCACTCTCAGCATCACCATCGTCATCACCAGAACCACCGGCATCATTACGACTACCATTAGCATCATCACCATCATCACCATCATCATCATCATCATCATCATCATCATCAGCAGCAGCAGCAGCAGCAGCAGCAGTATCATCATCAGAAGCATCACCCTGATCATCATGAGCATCATCACCATCATTAGCATCATAAGTATCTTCGTCGTCATCGGCACCATCATCGCCATCGCCATTGTCATCATCGTGATCAGCATGACACCAGATGTCCCGAGGGACGTGCGCCCGAATGATGTGTTGCCGTGCGCCGTCTGTGCCGCGCGCCGCGCCCGTGCCGAGCTCCCAGTCGCTTTACCGCCGCGGCGCCGTGTTGTCGCCGCGTCCTCTTTATTGATCATGATGCGCATCTGCTGGTCTGTGATCATCGTCGTCCTCACCATCATCATCATCATCATCATCATCATCATCATCATCATCATCATCATCATCATCATCATCATCATCATCATCATCATCATCATTATCAGCATCATCATCATCAGCATCATCATCCTGATTATCAGCATCGATATCATCAATACCATCACCAGTAAGATCATCATCATCACCATCATTTATTCATCATTATCATCGCCATCACCAATACCACCACCTTGGTGTTCATCATCACCGTTACCATCACCACCACCACAATCGTCAACATCCACACCATGATCACCATGACCATCGCCATCACCATCACCATCATTGCCATCGCCATCACCATCATCGTCAGAATGACAATCTTAATCATCAGCATCATCACCATCATCATGACCAGCACCACCACCATCATCATCACCATCAAGAACATCATCATCCGGTCCCCCCTACTTCCCGAGCGCTGGTCTGGGTAAACCACTCCCCTTGTAAGCATGCCGTACCGTGTGATCTGCACGAGCCTCCAATTTTATCCACCTTCTCCTGCCTTTTTCTCCCTTTCCTCCTCCTGTCCTCCCTAGACATCCAAGGCTCCGGCAAAAATGCTAGCGGCCAGTTTTTGGCCGTTTTGGGTTTCTGTGAGCCTTCAACGGGCTCCACGTTCGTCAAAAATTGCGAAGACGAGAAACCAGCCCTTTGGATGTTGTCCAGAACTGCAGGGGTCCACGCATCGAAGATATCGGCTCGCCAGATGTCCAGGATCTGATCCACCTCTTCCTGCCTCGTCCTCCCGTTTCCCCTCGCGGAGGGGAAAAGGGCAGGAGTCCTGCCTGACTATCATTGTGCCACTCTCCCCTGTCCCCTCCCCCCGCCAGCGCCCCGTGCGCCTACCCTTGTGTGGCTGCTGGGGAGCCTTCTCGTAATCGCAGCTGCTGTCGGGCCGAACAAGTGGCCATCACGGAGCCAGGGATGGGCCTGGCAATAGCCTCTGAGCAGGGCTCGGCCGTCTGCCGCCCCATCGTTTGCCATGAGAGTCGGTGCGTGTGGATGGGGCTCTCGTGAGGACGAAGCGCGCGTTTGTCTGTGTTTATGCTTCTTCTTCTGAGGCATGCGCGAATCGGTGAGCCTCTTTCTTCTGTGGCTGCTGCTCCGAGGGAGCTGCTCCCCGGATCGCGCGCGAAGCCACCGAGGTGAAGCGAGCAAAGCAGGTTGCTGACGCCTCTACTCGCACCCTTGAGGTTGCTCTGTGCTTCGCTCAGCTCAGGGAAGCTCCTCTGTGTCCATTCCCTCAGCCATCTTTTCCCCTTGTGCTCCTCCTCGTCCTTATTATTATTATTAGTAGTATTATTATTATTATTATCACTATTATTATTAGTATTATTATTATTAGTAGTATTATTGTTGTTATTATTATTATCATGATTATGATTATTCTTGTTGTCCGTCGTAGTGCCATCGTCACCATCGTCGTCGCCATCCCTCATCCAGCGTTCTCCGCCCTCCTCCTCGTTTGTTTCCTCCCTGGTTCGCCCCTTGCCAATCTAATTCTCGGTCCCTCCTCTTCCTCGTCCTCCAACTCCTCCCCTTCCTTCGCCATATCTGCTCAAGGCTCAGGCGTGGTGTGCGTCAGCCTTCAGACGGCGCCCCCGCTCAATGCTTTGATGCGGCGTCCTGGCACCCCTATCCATGTCCAGGGCTGGACCTAAACGGTGCTTTTGGTGATTTTGTGGGCCGTTTTCGTTTCGTTTTCGTTTCGACTTCGTTTTGCGGTAAAAGTGGTTTCGAGGCAAAAGCGATGGAAAACGAAAACGAAAAACACCGTTTAGGTGCACCCCCGTCCATGTCCACTCTCGCCTGGCCCATGCGCAAAATTTACATCACTTCGACGATTCATGAGCGGGATGGCCTGTTGTCCGGGCGCTGCGGGGAAGCTCTCGGCGACCACGCCGCCTCCTCGGGCTGGCCCGAGCCGAGATGGCGATCTAGCCGCCCCTCCTGCCGGCACGCGCGCGCAGGAGCAAGGAGGGAGGGGAGGAGGAGGAGGAGGAGGAGGAAAAGGAAAAGGAGGAGGAAACAGAGAAGGAGGAGGGAGGAGGAAAAGGAGGAAAAGGAGGAGGACGAGGGAGGGGAAGGGAAGGCACTGCCTGACTGCGCCGCTCCGCTTCGAGGGTCCAGCGCCAGACCCACGAGAGAAACTGGGAACGGGGAAAGCGAGCACGATATTCTCGGGGAAACGTAAGACTCGAGTAAGCCGGAACTCGGGTTAGCCGAAGTTTTTTTGACCAGCGCGTCCAGAATTTAAACGATCCGGTTTTGGTGGGATGTTTGCAGCGGGAGCCCGCGTCAAAGTTCAGATTGGATCGCGTCATTTTCATGTTGGCCCCCGTCAGGCCAACCCGAGTCCCCCGTATCCGAGTCTTACGTCTCTCCGATTTTCCAGACCGGCACTGCATTGGTCAGCTCTCTGCACACTCGGTGCCACAGTTGGTCGTTCGGTCAACGGGTTCGCTATGTGTGGCATGCTGGCTGGGCTTGCCGACTCCGACGCTTGCAAACTTGGGCGTGCTGATTCGACACCATCTGGTTCTATTGTAGCACTTCCAATGGGAATGTTGCAGAGCCCGTGCCCAAGCTTTACGACGGAACCCATGCTACTCGTCAACGTGGCGGGCCGTCCAAGTCCAAGACGAGATATCGCGTCGCCGTCGACGCCACACGGCACACTCCCCCCCGAGCGCCAGCACGACCGCCATCCACCCAGGCTTGAGGGACGTGGTGGGCGATCCGTGCGTGACCGGCAGCACCCAAAAGCATACTTCTACAACATGTGCGTCGGCCTCCTGACCAGTGCTAGTTGATATGACATGCGGGCCGTACCTCGTAGCATTTTCGTTCCGTGCCCCCCACTTTGCATCGTGGGCTCTGGTGCGGTCGGATGGCGTGAACAAGTCATGCGCGCCAGGAGAAGCATGTGCGTCGGCCTCCCAGGGGCGACGCGTGCGCCTAGAGCTGCTGCAGCAGATGTGCGGTGGCGGGCGCCGCCTGGCCACATCGCCAGGGCAACGTGTTTCCGCAGGGTGGCGGTGCCTCATGCTCCGCTCGGGCGCGCGCCTCTCAGGGGCCGCACAGCTTTGGGAAGGCCTTGCGGCCGGTGCCGCCGACCCTGAAGGGGAACGGCGACCACGACGGCGGCGTCGGAGGAGGAGGAGGAGGAGGAGGAGGGGGAGGGGGAGGAGGAGGGGGAGGGGGAGGAGGAGGAGGAGGGGGAGCGACGACGACGCTGACGTGGGGCAGATTCCTCAGGGATGCTTCGTGGGGCCTCTTCGGATCGCGCCCGCAGGCCTCTGGGAGCATCCTGGGAGCATCCTGGGAGCATCCTTGGGGGCCTCTTGGAGGTCCCCCCAGGTTTTCTGGGGGCCTCTGTGGGGGCCTCTTGCGGATTCGTCGGGGCCTCTAAGGGACCTCTTGGGGCCTGCTGGGAGCCTCTCGGGGACCAGGGCTCGAAATATTCGTTCAGGCTCCCGTGCGGGCACACTCTCGGATCCGTTTTTGGGGCCTCTTGGACTGTCTGGGAGGCCTCTAGGGCCGTATTCGGGCCCTCTTGGGTCGTTTTGGGGCCATCTTGGAAACCTCTTGGGGGCCCCCTGTGCTGATCTTGGTGGCATCTTGCGCCGTCTTGGGGCGTCGGGAAGCAGAAAAAGGCGAGAACGCCAGTCTCCCAAAAACCTAGAAAGGAAATCAGTAACTTTTGCCCTGTTGGGGCCCTCTTGGTGTGCTCTGGGAGGCCTCCTCGAGCGTCTTGCCAGATGTTTGGGCTGTCAGGAGGTCATCTTTGGCGTCTTGGACCGATTGTTCGGCGATTCCTGGGTCCACTTGGCCCGTCTTTGGCGCCCCTTGGGCTGTCTTGGAGCTTGTTTGGGACACAGGATCACCCGAGGGAGGATGGTATTCTGACCCGGGACCCCCCCCAGACCCCCCCCAGGACCCCCTCCCAGGAACCCTCCTCGGGACCCCCCACAAGACCCCTCCCCAGGACCCCCCCCCACCAACCCCTCCTAGGGGAGAAGGGATCAAAGGTCCCTTCGACTCAACTACGGCGGTGCTCAATTTCGCTTTGGTTTCGCTTGGCTGTCTCGCTTGAGGAGGAGGGTCCAGTGAAAGGGGAGGAGCGGCGACGGGCCCAGGGAAAGGGGGGTCAAACACGACGACGACCAGGACGACGACCACGACGACGACGACGATGACCGAGGCGACGACGAGGACGACGACGACGGCGACGACCACGACGACGACGATGACGACGATGCCGAGTCAAGCAGAACAGCGTCTTGTGATCGTTTTTGTTATTCAATGTTTTGCCGATCGGCGCGGGCCCCACCCCCCCTCCCCCCATGGAGTAGATCTAGGCTGCTTTTTGGCGCCTGCTTCGAGCGGGTGGAGTCTCCCCCAGAGGCCGCACTCTTGCAAACCGTCGCACCAGGCAGAGGTCTGGAGCCAGACCCCCCCCCTCCCCCCCTTGCCACCCAATGTCGAGACGCCGAACAAAAAAAGCTCACCTTTCACACGCCGACAGGGTCGGCGGATCGGTACGTAGGTCTATCTTCGTCCCACATGATGCTGCACCTACGTGCGCTACTTCTCGAAGTACAGCTCTCCCCAACCATCCTGTGCTGTTGGGTCCTCGTTTTGAAGAGACAGCTCCCCGCTTCCTGCCCTCCTTCTTCTCCTCCTCCCCCTCGTCCACCCTCCTCCTCCTTCTCCTCCTCCTTCTCCTCCTCCTCCTCCTCCTCCCCCTCCTCCTCCTCACATCCAAGGATTCAGCCGCCCGTTTCAGACCACTTCCGTCAATTTTGTTCCCAACCATCCTGTGGTGTTGGGTCTTCGTTTTGAAGAGACATCGCCCCCCTTCCACCTTCCCCTTCCTCCTCCTTCCGCTTCGATTTCGGCACACCCCTCACACGCTTCGTGGTCCCATAGGAAGCTCCACCGAAGACCCCAGCGACAAAGTCCACATGCAGTTCCCCGCCCATGTCGGCACAACCCTCGCACGTTTCGTGATCCCATGCGGAGCTCCACCGAAGGCCCCAGCGACAAAGTCCACATGCAGTTCCCCGCCCATGTCGGCACAACCCTCGCACGTTTCGCGGTCCCATCTGGAGCTCCACCGAAGGTCCCATGGAAAAATCCACATGCAGTTCCCCGCCAATTTCGGCACATCCCTCACACGGTTCGCGGCCCCATAAGGAGCTTCTTCGAAGGCCCCAGTGGCAAATTTCGCATGCGGTTTCCCGCACAACCCTCACACGTTTCGCGGCCCCATAGGAAGCTTCATCGAAGGCCCGAGTGACAGGGTCCACATGTGGTTCTCCGCTCATTTCTGCGCATCCTTCATACATCTCGCGGCCCTAGAGGATGCGTAGCAGGGTCCAATGCGGTCCCCGTCCATCTCGGCACGCCCATTACACGTTTCGTAGTCACTCCATTGAAGGCTCCAGTGGCAGGGTCCACTTGTGGCTCCCCACCTTGTTCGGCACACCTATCACACGTTTCGTGGCCCCCTGGAGCGGCCAGCTGGAGCGGCCAGCTGGGCGTGTCCTGGCCGTGCGCTCTGGAGGTGCTGCCCGCGCGGGCCCCAGGGGGGCTGGGCGGTGTGGGAATGGCACGGTGGGGCTCCCACAAGCGACGCCTCGAGCACGAACAGGCTGCACAGAGCGCAAGTTCTGGGGGGCCCGCGCGGGCTTCTTGGATCGGGATCGGCGCTAGGCCCCCTCCTTGTCGCGCGGAGCGCGCCAGGATCAGGAGGGGAAAACACACACAGACACAAATCATCGTCGATTCCCAGGAAAATATGGGAAAATATGGGAAGTGGGGGGGAAGAGAAAAACCCAGAACATGTGGGAACATGTGGGGAATCTTTTTATTTGTGTGCATTTGTTTGTGTGTCCTGGGGCCCCTTTACAAGAGCGGCGCCGGAGCTGCTGCCGGGAAGGCCCAGCGTTGATCCCAGGAGGAGGAGGAGGAGGAGGAGGAGGAGGAGGAGGAGGAGGAGGAGGGGAGGAGGAGGAGGAGGAGGAGGAGGGGGAGGAGGAGAGGAGGAGGAGGAGGAGGGAGGAGGGAGGGGGGAGGAGGAGAGGAGGAGGGAGGAGGGAGGAGGAGGAGGGAGGCGAGAGCTCCGCGCGGATCTCCCACAGGGT